GTGTATGTGTGTGCATGTGCATGTGCATATTATACTGGCTCTGATCTATTGTTCTGAGATGTTTGTACACTGACACATATGCGATACACCAGCACACAAACACACAACATTTGTCACACACTTTGGTGTGTTTGCTTGTTGGCGTGCCAAATTATAAATTAATTATCACCTATATAATTTTCCATACGTGCAATCAAACACACATACAAAAGTTTTAAGTTTTTTGAATGCTTGTATTAACTTGGTGTTTTTGTTTGTCGGATGATTGGTCGGTTGGTTTTATTTTTTGTTGGCTGGTTGGTTGGTTGGTTTGTTTGTTGTCATCTTGTCTGTCTGTTTGTTTGTTTCGATAACTTCCTATTGTCCGATAAATCAAAATTTTTTAAACTTGTTTATCTGCTGTTAATTTATGAACTTTCTTTCGGTTTAAAAAAAGATAATAAAATTATCTTCAATATTTTATTTAATTATCTAAAATATAATTAGTATTTTGTGTATACACGGTTGTAACCCTTGACTCTCGTAACTAGCAACACCGATGTTATAACTTCAAAAGATTTCTATATTTCCATCACTAGTGTTGTAGCTTCCAATAATCGTCAAAGGCTCCTTATCCCGCGGGTTCAAGATTTCCGATAGATGAGCACAACTGCTTTTTTTCGATTTGGTCATATACAAACACAATACATACATACATACATACATGCATGCATACATACATACATACATACATACATACATGCATACATACATACATACAAACATTTTTGAATCACCAATAGCATCGATTTCTGAACGCCTTGGTATGTCGTTGTTGTATTGATTTTAGAAGTAGTAGTAGTAGTAGCAGCAGCAGTAGTAGTATTAGTAGTAGTAGTAGTAGTAGTAGCAGTGGTATTTATTTAAGAACATGATAACGATTAATTATAAATGATAATAATATTTATTGTTAATCGTAATTATTAATAATAATAATATTATTTTTTATAGTTTAATTCTAGCCAAATCCATCTCAACCTCTCTTCTAATTTTCTCATCCAGTTTGGTGTCATAACTTTGATCGAATTTATTATGATTATTATGGTTATAATTATTATTACGGTTATAAATATTATTACGGTTATAATTATTATTACGATTATAATTATTACTATGGTTATAATAATTATTATTATTATGATAGGACATCTTATCTAGACGTGACGACGACGACGACGATGACTTAATCGTAAACATCTTTCCTGTTTGAGCTGTCCTCTATAAAATAATTAACAAGAAGAATAATAATAATTTAAATAATAATAATAATAATGAAATAATAATATTAATAATGATATTTATGACAATGCAAAACGATAGGAATTATGACGATGAAGATGATTATCTATGAAAGAATGTGGTAAATATGTAATAAATGAATAACAAAAAATGTAAATAATGAAATAATGGTGACACAGACACACACACACACACACACACACACACACACACACACACACACACACACACACACACAGCACACACACACAGATTTACAGACGCAGACAAACACACCCACACACACAGACAAACACACATGCATACTTTGTTCGCCGGCATCTTTGATAAAGGAATTTGAAATGTAACACTTCTGTTTGATAAAAGTATTATTTTTATAATATTGCTACTAGTACCATTACTATTACTGCTGCTACTACCACTACTACTGCTACTACTGCTGCTGCTACTACTACTGCTGCTACTACTGCTGCTACTGACCTTCTCATGTTATTATCACTAGCATCATCTAATATTCTCATAGATGATGATCTCAAACAAGGCGATGTCTTTGGCCTAGTACTACCACCACTCAAACCTATAATAAAATTATAATAATAATTATTAATAATAATTATTATATTATAATAATAATTAGTAATAATAATTAGTAATATTCGTAACAATAGTAAACAGTAATCTAGTGCCAAAGTAGAACAACCTTTGCAAATAAGAAGATCACTGTGACTGAGATAGACGCCAGAATCATTTTGCCGAAATCTCGATATTAGCACATCGCCATTTCTTCCCCCAATGACGTCATTGTCATCGTCCCGGCTATCCGGACTTCTAGTACGATTGTTGTAGTTGTTTTTGTTGGCATACTCATCGGGTGATAATGCAAATACGCGCCTGTCTACATCACTCCTAAGTAACGCTCTTGATTTATAGTTCGGCCTTTTTTGATGGTGAGAATGACTTGAATTTAAATTAGCAGAGTGACATCTATGTTTCGGCGAATGATATTTCATATTTCTCGGCAGCTGAGATGATCTCAACATTTTTTCTGCCCTCTCTAGTGATTCAATCTGTTTCAATAAATTTTCTCTTCTTAATTTTTCATCCGACTCTTGGCTGTAGATGTTTTTAGGAAACGGTTTCGCTTTGAAAGTATTAACTAATTCCCTATTTTCTAGAAATTCTTTGTTGTCTAAGATTCTGTTTGCCGATCTTACCACCTGCTTTCGCTTCTCTCTTTCAAGAAATGAAAATTCCGCTCCTCTGTCTAATAGAATTTCTCTTCTTTTTAGTTCGTTGCGTCGTTTCTTGGATTGTTTTTTCCTTTCCATTTCTTCCAGTAGCAGTTCGTAAGTGTTAGCTGGGATCGGCAGAGATCGAAAGCGTTTTCTCAGCTCTTTTTCTTCCATTAGCTGTTTCAACTTTTTGTCATTTTTAATTTGTTCGATTTTATCTGAAACAGGTTTCATAATTTTCTTCTGCTCCTCTCGGATCGTCATATTGAAAGGTTTGCAAACTGTGATGTAGGGTGTCTTCCAACGAATTCTCTTCTGATCTAAATCCGTCAGCGATCTTCTCCGTCTGACTGATGGACGAGGATCTGTGAAAATTTCTTGATCCTCGTTGTTGTTATTCGTGAAGAACCGATTCAACTTATAGTTCAGTAATTCGTCGCTATTGTACGATTTCAAGCCACTATTTTCATAATTTTTCGTAATGCTATCGCTGTTGTAATAACACTCCTCATCATCGTCTGTCGATGACGACTGACTCGAAACAATTGATGGTTCTAGAACACCTTTTCGGATGGGCCCATTTTTACTTTTCCTCAGCGTCGCCTCGTCACATAGAGCCAGAACTTTTTGGTGCTCTCGTCTCAGGGATTTTAATCTGTATTGAAATTCATCTTCGGTCATATTCGAAAGATCGGGAACAATCCACGTCTTACCGTAACCGCTGTCGTAACCATCGTTTGCTGTGGTCGTTGTTGAATTTGAAATATAAGAGTTAGTTTCGTCGTCGTTGTAGTAGTTGTTCTCGTAATCAAACATTTTTTTTCGGAATTTTCCTTCAACTTATAAAATATATCGATATCATTTGAAACGATTTTTGAAAAATATGTTCAATTTACTTGAATTTTAATATTTTCAAAATTTTTATCAATGTTTGGTAACTGTACTGTGTACTTGTACTACTATAGAATAGACAATACTAAATATGTTATGTACTTAACAAAATGACTGAGAAGCAAAATGGCTAAAATTTATCGTAGAATTATGAATTTAAAAAAACTTATTGCGATAAAATTTAAAGAAATATTATATTACTACATTCAATTACTATATTAAGTTATCGGAAGGATCGGATTTAAATAGCGAATACAAAAAAATTATAGGAGAATATGCAAATCAGCTGATTATGTGTAAACATTTTCTGGTTGTCATAGTTACACGTAGGATTGAGCGTATACATTAATTTTAATTAAATGTTTTGCTCAAAATTATTATTTTAAATCGAATTATAGGTAAAAAATTTTCTATATTTTAAATTTATTATAATTTAATAATTTATATGAACTAATTATTGGTTTACTGGTATTTTCGAAAAAATTGCAGCGTTTTGACCGGGTTGTTTAAATAATTTCGCCATTATTGTTTCTGGCTGACTGCAGAGATTTCAAAATTGTTTAAAAAACTTATTTCAGCATCTTGAACATGAATTTAAGTAATAAAATACTAAATGAAAATAAACCTTCAAATAAAAGATGTCAAATTTTCCTAGTTCAACCTTCTAATTGTAGTAATTCGGCAAGAAACTTAGATGCAAATGACGATGAAGCCAACACTAATAATACTAACAATAGGAGTGGTTTTGCTCAAGAAGAAGCCAACACTAACAACACTGGTAACAAGATTAGTAGTGTGGAGAAGGGTAAAATCGAGAACATTCCAACATCGCCTGATAGTGATCTTGCTGGTTCTATAAAAATAAATAAACTAGTTTATGATAGGCAAGTGTATTGTCTTGTATTCAGTTAATTTATGTATGATGACATTTGATATTCATCTTTCATTGATTAGTAGTGAATTAGGAAAAGATTTATTTAGTGTTTTGAATTTGTTTTTGATCAGTCAATTAGTTGATTAATTGTTTGTAAAAAGGATATCTATCTTTAGTTTAATTCTTTATTCTTCAAAAAAAAACCTAATAAAAAAATCCTGATTAAAAAAACCTGTCCAACATAAACTATCAGCCAAAAAATATGAGATGTGTATATTGTTTTATTAATTAGTGGATTGATCTACTCTGTATTTTTAATTTATCATTAACCAATTGATTGACTGTAAACATTATATCTACCTCCTCCTTATTCACCAACCATTGGAAAACAGATTCCACATGGTTTACATAATATTTTTCATTATGGGCATCGGATCAACGCTACCATGGAATTTCTTTAGTAATGCTGAAAAGGTATGGACCTGTCAATCCCCTTTCTTTCTCTCTCTCTTTCTCTCTCTATTCCTTTCTCTCTCTTTTCTCTCTCTTTCTCTCTCTCTATCTCTTTCTTCCTCTCTTTCTTTATTTTATTATGTCTATACTTTTCTTTACATTTCATTTTTTTTTCTTACTCATGTTTTTTCTTCTTTATTTCTCTCTTTCTCTTTTTTTCTTATCTTATAGTCTATCCCTCTCTCTCTCTCCTCTCTCTCTCTCTCTCTCTCTCTCTCTCTTTCTCTCTTCTCTCTCTCTTTCTCTCTTCTCTCTCTCTCTCTTGTGGGTATAAAGTTGAAATTACATCATTAAAGAGTAATAATTATTACTGCAGTACTTTTCCTACAAAATAAGGAACTGTTCACTGAATGAGTCGATGATGAGGCAGAACTCCGACTACGAAACCTCGTATCAAGTAGAGAGAATGAATTGCATTTATATTCACGTTCTATTACATCTCACATTTTTGGTCTTTGGTTTATATCTATTCAAAAATTCCTCTACAAATAACATTTTTTTGTAACACAGTTTTAAATCTACATGTTGCTATGTATTCTATATTAGAAAATTACTTCGAGTTTCATCTGTTAAAGTCATTTCTTACTCTCTACTAGATTTAGACTCACTCATATAAACATATTTGATGTTTTTATCATCAGCGTCATCATCGTCGTCTTCGTCGTCATCATCAAAATTATTTTTTATATTTTTTATTTTTATTATTACCCAGGCTCTCTTCATGAACTATTTGACGCTGGTGGCGCTGCTTCCGAATGTATTTTTCCAATTCCTCAATCTCATCATTACTGAATTGTTAGTTTTGTTTGCTTGCATGTTTGTTTGGTTGCTAGTTTGTTTGTTTGCTTGTTTGTTTGTTTTGGGACATTTCATTTTTTATACACTCACACACACACTCACAGTCATACACACACACACACACGCACACACACACACACACACACAGAGAAAAAGAGAAGAGAGAGAGAGAGAAAGAGAGAGAGAGAGAGAAAGAGAGAGAGAGAGAAAGAGAGAGAGAGAGAAACACACACACAAACACACACACAAATACAAAATACATACACATGACATTTTTATATCTTTAAAATTTTAGCATAACCATAGAAAAGCGAATTTTGGGTTCTTTGGCTATGATATTTCTCTTATTCCTATCTACATGCATTCTTACACAGATCGATACGGACTCATGTTAGTAGTAGTGGTAGTAGTAGTTATAATAATAATAATAATAATAATAATAAAACAACAACAATAATATAAAGAATAATATTATTTTTATTTTTTATTGTTAGGGCAGTCAGTATTTCTCATTATAACGTTATCTACTGTTGCACTTATGAACGGTTGGTTGGCTGATTGGCTGATTGATTGATCGATTGGCTGATTGATTGATCGATTGGCTGATTGATTGATTGATTGATTGATCGATCGATTGATTGATTGATCGATTGATCGATTGATTAATTGATTGATTGATTGATCGATTGATTGATTGATTGATTGATCGATTGATTGATTGATCGATTGATTGATTGATTGATTGATTGATTGATTGATTGATTGATTGATTGATTGATTGATTGATTGATTGATTGATTGATTGATTGATTGATTGATTGATTGATTGATTGATTGATTGATTGATTGATTGATTGATTGATTGATTGATTGATTGATTGATTGATTGATTGATTGATTGATTGATTGATTGATTGATTGATTGATTGATTGATTGATTGATTGATTGATTGATTGATTGATTGATTGATTGATTGATTGATTGATTGATTGATTGATTGATTGATTGATTGATTGATTGATTGATTGATTGATTGATGGATTGATCGATTGATTGATCGATTGATTGATCGATTGATTGATCGATTGATTGATCGATCGATTGATGGATCGCTACTACAAAAATTAACTATAATTGAAATATTAATATTACGATAATAACAACAACAGCTTTTGTAGCCATTCTGGTCGGTGGCTTGTTTGGTCTAGCGAGTAATTTTCCAAAACAATTTGTACAAGCTTTGATGTCCGGAATGGTGAGTATGACGACGATGTTGATGATGATGTTGTTGATGATAATGTTGTAGATGGTGGTGGTAGATTTTATTCCTAAATTGGTTAGTGTTGCTAAAATTAAAAAAAAAATTTGGTTTTGAACTCAAGAAACTTGGCAATGATTTACGATCTACCATTAGAAAAATCGGAAAATTAAAATGGGAAGCTAACGCGGAACATGATGTGATTTTCACCAATAATTGCATGCATGTATATATATATATATACCATAGGCTATTGGGGGTCTTTTTGCGTCAGTTGTATCCCTGATTGTCACCCTAACTGGGGTACACCCTGTAAAAAGTGGTTTGGGGTATTTCATTATGGCCCTGTTTACACTCGCCTGCTGTATAACCGCCTATTTGGTTATGCCTAAGTTGGTTAGTGTTGTTTTTGGGTGTTGTTGTTGTTGTTGTTGTGACGATGATGATGGTGACGATAATGATGATGACGATGATGATAATGATTATTATTATTATTGTTATTTTTATTGTTGTTATGCAGGCTTTTGCAGTGCGTTACATACCATCGAAATCTGGTTTGTCTTTTTTTTTTGGTTCGTTCTTTTTAATATTTTACTAACTGCAATGATTGGAAAGGCTATTTATACAGAAGAGGTTGATTTGTGGCCGATGAGGATTTATAGGATAATCATCTGGTCGAAATTAGGAAATAATTTCCATTAACTTTGATTTTAATAGCTTGTGTTAGTTCATTTTGTGCCTTTGTTAGACGTCGACATGTGGTCTTTTGGTTGGAGCCAGCCAATGGGGCCGTGTTGGGTTGTGTTATTTTGTGTTCTGTTCTGTTGAGTTGAGTTGTTTTGAGTTGTGTTGAGTTGTATTGAGTTCGGCTGTGTTGTGTTGTGTTGAGTTGTGTTGAGTTAGTACTAACCCTAACCCTAACAGTTCCAATCATAACGAGTAAAGGATCGGAAAAAAATATTGAACCGCAAGAAGGCACTTTGGTAACGGTAATCGGTCGATCCAGCACCAGCTCGTTGAGATGGCTGGCCAAAATACCGAATATATCGATAACTACGGAACGAGACCGACAGCTCGGTACGCGAAAGATGAAGACATTCGCAAGTCGGTATACCGTCTCGAGTGGAGATAAGACGTTGCTTTGGTGTTTGACAGCAATCATGCAGAAGGTATGTTTCTGTATGTTGTGTATATTTTTGTAAGCTTTGTATATTTTTGTGGTATGTTTCTGTATGTTGTGTATATTTGTGTATGTTTTGTATATTTTCGTATGTGCGTGTGTGTGGTTTGGTTTGTACGTACGTGCGTGCGTGTGCGTCTTTTAATTTGGTCTATATGTGTCTTTGTATGCGATTTTGTATATGGTTTGTATGATTTCATGCATTCTTCCATTCATTCGTTCGTTCGTTCATTTGTCCGTTTGTTCGTTCATTTGTCCGTTTGTTCGTTCATTTGTCCGTTTGTTCGTTCATTCGTTTGCTCATTTGTTTGTTCGTTTGCTCATTTGTTCGTTCGTTCATACATTTGTTCGTTCGTTCATTTATTTAAGATCCGTTTCTATTCGATATCGGCCATTTTGTTGTTCCTCGTCAGTATTTCCGTGTTTCCGGCTCTAATATCCAACATCCGCTCCACTACCGGGAACGAAAAGTGGGATAGTCAGTGATGATGACGATGTGAATGAATGAATGAACGAACGAACGAACGTATGTAGAGTTGGGTAAAACCATTTTCTATTTCGATTTAAGAAAAAGGTTCAAGTTCGCGGCTAAAAAATGCTTTTGAGATCTATTGTTAGATAGAAATCTATTTATAAGTATTTTTGAGACGAATTGAATTCAGGAAGCACAAGATCACAACCATCACAGGATCTCAGTCAATTCAACTGTAAAAAGACTTATTAAAAGATCATATTCTGTGGAGTTTATGTATTTTATTGATTGATTGATCGATTGAATAATTTATACATTTATTTATTAATTCACTTGTTCATTCATTCATTCATTCATTCATTCACAGAGAATTATTTCACTCCGATCTGCTGTTTCATATACTACAATTTTGCCGATTTCGTTGGTAGATCCACAGCCGGCTATCTAAGATGGGTTTGTTCGTTTGTTTGTTTGTTTGCTTGTTTGTTTGCTTGCTTTTTGTTTGTTTGTGTACGTACGTATGTATGTACTATTGTGTAGATGATAATTTAGGTTAGGAGGTGCAAGTAAGTATAGGTTTTAGATAGGTATGTGTTAAAGTAGGCGAGCTGTTATAATGATACCTAAGTTATAAAAGTAGTTCAAGACGAAACTGCAAAATTACAGGCATGTAAGATGAATAATATAGCGTATAATTAATCAGAACACATAGTAAGAACAAGCTGACATACAATAGGGAATGACTGGCTAGAAGGAGTTAGACAAACAGTTAAGCTTTAGGGAACAAGGTCTTCTGGTATACAATAGGCGAGCACGTATGTTAAAGAGAGTTGAGAGTTATCTCAGTTAGAACTATCTCTTTAACATACTAAAAGCTCTTGAACACTCTTTGATAATCTTTACAATATTTTTATTGTTTGATGGCAGTTGAATATATCTTGATGAGATTGAATTATCAATACAATGCTTGCAACTGAGAATTGAAATTTAAAATGTATCGCAAATAATAATGGTGTGTAAAAGTGTATGAGTGATGTTCATGAGTTTTGACATTTATCTATATATAACCTATATTTACTTACATCTCCTAACCTAAATTATCATCTACATAATAGTATATGTGTGTGTGTTTGTGTGTGTGTGTTTGTTTGTTTGTTTGTTTGTCTGGCTGCATGTTTTGGTGCATATCCTTAAAAAGTGGCCAATCAACCGACCAATCCAAACCAATACAACAAACATCCAACCAATCAAATTAACTAACAAACCAACCAAAAAACAACTAATCAACCAATCAACTAACTAACCAACCAACCATGAACCAACCCAACAATCAACCAACTAACTAATCAATCGACCAACCAACCAACCAACTCAACAGCCCACAAGCTCAGTAGTAATATTCGTTATATCGCTACTGAGAATCATCTTGATTCCTGGTATATACTTCTGCAACATAAGACCACGCTACTTCTCAAGGCCCTTGATTTTGTACGATTGGGTTCCGGGGTTTCTGACATTGGTTCTGGGCTGGAGCAATGGTCATCTGGCGACAGTTTGCGTCATGTATGCACCGCTGTAGGTTTTTTTGTGGTATTTTTGTGTATTATTGAAGTATTTTTTTGTATTTTTGTGGTATTTTTTGTATTTTTGTGGCATTTTTTTGTATTTTTGTGGTATTTTTGTGTATTTCTGTGTATTTTTGTGGATCGTTTGTGTTATTGGTGTACTGTGTGTATGTATTTCTGTCTATCTGGCAGTACGTCTGTCTGCCTGTCTGTTGTTGTCCCGTTTGGTTTGTTTTTGAATGTATTCGTGTATTTAACCAATCTATCAGCAAATCATCCAAGCCAAACATTCATACCAATTAATCAATCGATCCATCAATCTGTCTTTTTTAAATTATCAATCAACCAACCAGTCAACCAATCAACCAACTAATCAATCAACCAACAAAACAACCAACCAAAAAATCAATCAATCATCCATCAACCAACCAACGAATGAACTAACCAGCCAATCAACAAACTAATTTTTTTTACCAGTGTAGTTCCAAAACCTCTGGCCGAACTAACTGGAGTCGTGATGTCATTTTCCCTAACTTTAGGTTCCGGGCTGGGTGCCTTGTTATCAATGTTACTTACGAAAGTCTTGTGAGAGTGTGTAGCCTCCCCGAGTTTCCTTTATATGCCTGGATTTGATTTTGGAGCTGATTTCGAATTTGTTTTTAAAGCTTTAATTTGAGTTTGGTTTACTAGTTTTGAGGGAAATTATTTTTAGCCATACGTTTTGATTAATCGATACGTTATATATATATATATCTGTGTGTGTGTGTGTGTGTGTATGTGTGTGTGTGTGTATGTATGTATGTGAGTCTGTCTGTGCCTTTATTTCATTGATTCCTTTCAAATTTGTTATTTTATCATTATTGTTTTTTTTAACCAGCCGAAAAGATAAATGAAACTGGGGTATTATACGTACAAACCCCACACACAAAAACACCACATACACACATGTATACACAGACATGAATTCAACAACTATTATTATTATTCAGCCAATGCAGCGCCATAATATTAAAATCTGCAATGCAAAAATGTAAATACAATATTTTCATCCCATGTAAACAAAAGAAATTGATGTATTATCATCTTTGTCTATCTTATTGGTGTATTATTACATTTGCCTGTATAAATCTGTCTGCCTGTATGTGTGTGTATTATCTTTGTCTGTGTAATTCTGTTTGAGCGTGTGTGTCTATGTGTAAGTTATTATATATTATTACGAATAATATCGGTACGTTAATTTTATTCATATCCGTGTTGAAACATTATTATGAAATAAATAGTTAAATATATTAATATATATATATATATTTAATTGAATATATTAATTATATTATATATAAATTAGTGAAGGTGTGTTCATCAAAATCTCATAAATAAATAAATATTAATTGATTGATTGATTGAATAATCATTCATTCATTTTTTCCCTTAATTTATTTTATGTTTATTTATTTGATTATTCAATATATAGTATAGTAGATATTTGTATAAAATTTATGTATATATATTTTAATAATTATATTCTAAAATTTATACTAATAATTTTTAATTGTACAAACAACAACTAAATGATTCCTCTGGCCTTTGATATATTTTCCACTATCTTCATCTCTCTGTCCAGAATGAAAAAAATTAAAAATTATTAAATAAAAATTTTCTTTTAGGTTTCATATTTCAATACTACTACTACTTTAACAACTACTACTACTTTAACAACTACTACTACTACTACTACTACTACTACTACTACTACTACTACTACTACTACTACCACTACCACTACTACTACTACTACTACGAATGGATTTATAATATGATTATACAACAACAACAACATATAGGTATAGAGCCAAATTACATTAACGAATAGTCAGCAGCTAAACCTGCTATGGTAATGTCAACAAAAATGCCGTCACATCAATGATATCACTAACAACAACAACAGCGCCAAAACCAAACAACATCGTTCTGACCAACCAAACAACAATGGTAATGAAACAACTATAACAACAACTAATACAATAAAAACATCAATAATAATAACAACAACAATAATAATAATCTACATCAACAATGTCTAAACTTATGAAAACCCGCAAGGGCTACAAAACCTTTAATAATAATAATAACAATAATAATAATAACAACAGTAATAATAACATAGGTATCAATGATGATGACGACTATAATAATAATCATAATAATGATGATGATGACGTCAGAGGCGAATTTTACAAAAAGGAAGATAACGATGATGATGACGAAGAAGACGATGATAGCAGGATTGGTAATGATGACGGAAGGGATGATAATGATGGCGAAAGGGATGATGATGATGATGATGATGATGAAGAGGATGGCGAAGTTACTCCAGCAAACGACAGACGACCGCTACTAAAAAAATCCAACAATTTACGAAAAATGCGCCACACGCGAGAAACATATGACGACGACGATGATGATGATCATCATCATCACCACCACTATCATCATCATCAACACCAACATTACGACAACCACAACAGTTCAAACAATGACAAAAGGAAGGCCAGCAACGATAACCTATCCGTCGGCTCAAAATCATCTAAGAAGTCATCCAGAAAAAAAAAGTCCGCGGCCACAGAAGATAACATCAGCATAGGTAGTAGCTTCAGCGGCGTCAGTGTCTTTGACAGCGAGGGCGTTCGAGTTGATGAAAGGCGAAACTCTCAAACGCAGCAATATCTTACCCTCCCTATTAATAGAATGACCCCGACCTGGTCTCAATATTCTCCGTTTGAACTTAAAGATAGGTGTGTGTATGTGTGTGTGTGCGTCGTGTGGAGCGTGTTTTGTATATCAGCGTGTGTGATGTATGTGTGTGTGTGTGATGTACGTGTATGTGTGTGTGTGTGTGTGTGTGTGTGTTGTCCCGTAATGTATGAATTTTCCTGTATGTCGTCGTGCTTGTTGTCCTGTGCATGTATTAAAAATCTGCCCATGTAGTATGCATGAATGAACAAATGAATTTATAAGTGAACGAACGAACAAATGAATGAACGAACGAATGAATGAATGAACAAACAAATGGATGAATGAACGAACGTTTGAATGAGCCAATGAATAAACCACCAACCAACCAACCAGGTGTTACTTCGTCTACTTCGCATTTTTCATCATGGGCCTAGGCACACTTCTGCCATGGAATTTTTTCAGCAATGCCGGACGGGTAACTTTTATTGCCACCATCATCATGGTCATCATCGTCGTCGTCATCATCATCATCATATCGTCATCACCATGATAATCATCAGCGTCATCATCATCATCTTGATCGTTGTCGTCATCATCTCCTTCATCATCGTCCTCTCTAACAACATCATAACGTATTCATCATCATCGTCACCATCTCATCATCGTCATCACCATCAAACAGTATTTCTCCTACAAGCTCCGAAACTCATCGATACCCTCTTCCCAATTCGACAACTGCAGCACCCTGACACGTGATCAGAATCTATTTTTATCCTACCTAGGGCTATCCGCACTGCTGCCCAATCTATTCTTTACCTTATTCAACCTCTTTATCACTAATTAGTGAGTCATGTTGTGTGTGTGTTTTTATGTGTGTGTGTTTTTGTGTGTGTGTGTGTGTGTGTGTAAATGAATGTTTTTTACTTGCGTTTTTTTGTGTGTGTCTTTACGCTGATCAATCAATCAATCAATCAGTCAATCAATCAGTCAATCAATCATTCGATCGATCAATCAATCAATCGATCAATTAGTTTATAAAGCGCTATTTCCGCGATGTTCAACAGCACTTCTCAGTGAATTTTGTAAACAGATGGGTCTTGAGATCCGCTCTGAACTTCGTAAGTGATGGAGAAGTAGTCAGAGAAGTAGGTAGAGAGTTCCAGAGAAAAGGGCCAGAAAAATCAAATGCAGATTTAGCAAGAGAGTGTTTAACACATGTTAAAAAGAAGTGAGAACAACCGGGGCGTTTAAGTTCAATTAATACATCTGATAAGTACTTAGGAAGTAATTTAGATTGAGACTTGTACATTGATGGGCAAATTTAAAAAAATTTTTCCATATCCTGATGTCCAATTCGTTCACATGTAACTGATTGAGGTTTAACAACAAAAACAACAACAACGAGAACATTAGCAACATCTACAAGCAATAACATCAGCAACAACATTAACAACAACAACAGCATTCGGGTTGGTCATAGAATCATAGTGCCCTTGGTTTTCATCTTCATACTCTTCATGGTAACGACTATACTTACCGATTTTGACACTACGAAATGTTAGAACTATTATTATTTTTATTATTATTATTATTATTATTGTTGTTGTTGTTGTTACTATTTTTATTTTTCATGCTTTTACCTCTAAAGGGCAGAGCCAGTTTCTGATAACCACATTGGCAACGCTGGCCGTTATGAGTTGTAGGTTTATTATTATTATTATTTATTAATAATAATATTTTATAATATTATATAATATTATTATTATTTATTAATAATAATATTTATTATTATTATTCTCATGATTATCATTATCACCATCTTCTTTCTCGTGCCTTTATCCTTTCAGAACATTGGCGACCATCGACCTCCACAAAAGCCGATCTTTAAAACTTTGTAAGAGTTGAAATATCGTGATGTTCAACAACTGGCACAAGAACTTCGCGAATGTTATTTGCTATTTATCGCGATCTTTTTCCCTGCTATCTTTCCAGTAGTTGTTAGATTTTCCATTCTTCCCTTCCGCATGATGTGACCCAAAAATCTTCAACTGTCGAATTATCTGTAGTAATTTTTTCTCTTTCATAACCGGACTGTTTTAATACATCCTCACTCGAAGTATGAGAGGTACAACTAGTTTTCACAATTCTTCTCAGAAACCACGTCTCAGCAGCCTTAATCTGCTTTTTTTTTACCATTTCTTTAGA